ATTATAATTTAAAAAAAATCGGTTGTGAGAGAGTGAGTGTATGTAAAGAAAAGAGGGATGAAAAAGTGGTATAAAAGGTATCTTGGTCAATTTTTAAAATGATGTGATGATGTACAAAAATTACTCAAACAACTATAAATATTTCTAGAATAATTATTAAAAATAAACGAATAAATTTAATTAAAAAATTAGAGTAAATTTCAATTCTTGTATTTATAATTGTTTAAAGATTGTGATTTTCATTTCTATAATTAATAATTTATTGTTATTTATATTCTTATGATCATTGATTACAATTTTTTATTATTTTAATTTCTTATACTTTATATATAGTAATTAATTCAGGGATTAAAATAATAATAAATTATAAATAATTGAAATTATTAATAAATCACAAATACTAACATCTTAATTTACTCTTAAAATAAACAATTTTTTTATTTGTAAAAATAAAAAAGGTAAAGGTACATTACGATACCAAGCACCTGGCGGAGTCCGCAAGTGCCACCCACGTGCTCCTAATTCTTGCCATTTAAGTACGATGAAAATTACGTTTTCAAATTAATTTTTTTAATTGTTTTTTTAAGAATTTTTTCCATTACACGTGTTCAATAAACACATAATCAGAAATCAATGAAGTTCATTACGGTTTGTATCAGAATTTGGTTGAACTGAATGCAGATTCATGTAGATAATAGGAATTTGATCTCCTTTATTTATAGATCATGAAAATTAGAGACGGACCCATAAATTTTTTTAAACAGTGGTACCGTTTGACTATAAGAAAAAAAAAATATATGGAAAAAATTTCAAATAATGGTACCATTTGACTAAAAAAATAACACTAACATGATTCGAATTTGAGTCTGAGATGGAATAAAAGTCTTGCAAACAAACTCTACCAAATAAAACTTGTTTTCACTGTAGTTTCAAAATACATACAGTGGCATACAACAAATTAATACAGTTACACATTTCACGAACATAATTTTTTTTACCCTTCAACAGAGAAATAATACGGTGGCACGTGCCACCATATGCCTTACTCTAGGTACGTCCATGATGGAAACGTAGAACTCATCTCATAAGGGGTTGTAGTTTATCTATAAATAATAGAAGATATGCACTTATCTTATTGTTAATCAGACAATTAATTTAATGAATTGTCCTACTCACATTAGGAGATATATATATATATATATATATATATATATATCCAAATATGTAATTGGATTATAATTGATATAGAATTCTCTTCATAAATATAAATATTTATTCAATTATCCTTTAATATTTATTACGAATAATAATAAATTTCAATTTATTTTTAACATTGTTTAGTAACAACCTATAATTAAAAAAAAGTTCCATTAATGGTTTAGAATTTGTTTAATGAAAATGTTTAAAACTTTACTACCAGCCTTTTAAATACATTACATGACGCCTTTCGTTCGTAATTAAGATAATACACATGGACGATAATTTATTACAAGATTTCTGGTTTGGTTTTTGATTTATAATATTAATGTTGGAGATAAAAAAAACAAATCTAAACCCAAGAGGTGTTGAGGTGACATCATGAAAATTGAATATTAAGATGTTGGTGAATTGTGGTTGGTTTTGAGATATCTCACATTGGTGAGAAATTGAATGATTGGGATAAGGATGTGTGTATAAAAAATAATATGTGATTCATTTCATCAACTCAAGAGGCTTGACTCATAAGGTTATCTTATTTGGATGATCCTATTTTTGTAAAACAAATCTTATTATATAAAAATAAAAATAAATTATGTTTATAATCATATATATATATATATATATATATATATATATATATAGGGGAGCGTTCAAATAAAAACCACCTAATTTGTACAAACCGTACAAACTTCATTCAACTGATCATAATTTTTCATTTTGTTCATTTTTTTGTAATTATGAGAGGTTGATTAATCATTTTTATTGTGGATGATGTTAATCATGGATATTATCATCATCATTATTTTAATTTTAGAGAAATACATGAAACAGTTTCATTAATTTTAGAGAAATACATGAAACAGTTTAATTAAGTAGTATATGAAACAATTTCATAACCATATATGAAACAACTTCATCAAAAAA